GGCTATGGGATTTCTCTCTGGGAAGATGAAAATGTCCCATAACTAGATCTGGATGATGACACACACCTGGGTGAATACACCAACAATCACACTGGGATAGCTAGAAACCTGCAATGGGAGATTTGCACAAGAAGTCCCCATTTAGGTGGCAAATATGGAACTGTTTATATTTTATACTTCAGGATTTTCGTTTTTTAGAAGAAGCCTCATAAATGTTCCTCTACCCAAGAAACCTAAGGTTTAGGACTATAAATTTGCTCCCCCAGAGCAGATGAACCTGCTCTGCTCCTACTTCTAAAACAGCCAAATCCAAAACTTAAGGAAGCACTGAACTTTGCCTTTCCTAAATCTTCAAATCTGCATATTCTAACAAAAATAAAAACCCTTTATGCCATAATTTGGGAGAAACTTCAGAAAACAGGATCAAACATACCCAGGGAAAGAAAATAGGCACCGAAAAAGAATCAGAAGTGAATTTAATGAAAGCTAGACTGGGAGTTTGGAAAACTGCATGGATTTTACCGTTTTCTTTTTCTCCCCCTTTAAAAAAGTCAAGACTTCTATAAAAATTATCTTCTATAGTATTCCTTAAATTATCACTGGACAGAGAATTTAACATCTGACTGTACTTGAGCAGTTAACTTTAATGTAGCATCAGGCATACTGAGAATTGCCACTTGTAGGGTGGCGGGGTAGGGAAGGACCAAGTCTCACTATGGACCCCTGGCTGACCTGCAACTCAGGTCTGCCTGCCTCTGTCCTGAGTGCTGGAATCAGAGGCTGGTGACACCATGTCTGGTTAGAATCACCAACCACTTCTTAGTTTGAAGTCCCCAGAGACCAAGCTGGGACGAAGTTATTGCTCAGATATTCTCAACTCTAAAATGGAATACTGGTAGTCATTTGAAAGAGGACAAAAAAAGGTTGTGGAGGGATGTAACTCATGTCACTCAGCACTTAGCTCGACGTATAGGAAGAAGATGGAAAAGTTTGACAGTCACAGCAACTCTGAGGGGGTTCCAAAATAGTCAATAGCAAATAAGTAATTAACAATTATATGCTTAATGTATCTAAGCAAGGTGGTTAACAACGTTCACAAGTGGATAAACTGGAACAATGACTGTTAAAAGCAATCTGGGGTCTACTTGCGAATCTGAGTAGTTTAAATCATCTAAAAGTTGTATGACATAAATGACCAAATTTAGTTTCTTATTGGAGGTGGGGATGGTGGTTTCAAGACAGGGTTTCTCTGTGTAGCACTGGCTGCCCTGAAACTCACTCTGTAAGTTACCTCCTGAGTGTTGGGATTAAAGGCTTGGGCTAGAATTTCAAGTACCACTAATAAAAAGAATTTATCGGAGACAGGTACCCTGGGACATCCTATAGTCCCAGCACACTGGAAGAGGAAGGCAAGACAGCCAGATAATCAAGGTCATCCTCTGCTACATAAGGAACTCCAGACTAGTCTTGGCTACCAGGGTCACTGCCCCAAAATGGGGGATGAGCAAGCATTGGAATTCTATTTGCTGTGAAAGCCACTCACTCCAGGGAAGTATGATCGTGGCCCAACAGCAGAGCTTTTCATGCACTAAAAATCTAAACCCTCGAATCCTCCCAGACAACAATCTCTACCTATAAGGAGCCTTGGACACCTGTTTCTCATTTCCCCCCCTCTTAATCTAGAAATGGACTCACCAAAAAATGCTTCCCAGTTTCCTTTTCCTTTTTAAATCTCTGTGTTCACAGGCAGGCGATGGTGGCACATGCCTGTAATTCCAGCACCAGAGGATCTATGTGAGTTCGAGGCCAGTTAGAGAATGAGTTCTAGGACAGCCAGAGATACACAAAGAAACTGTCTCGAAAAACCAAAAAAGAAAGAAAGAAAGAAAGAAAGAAGGAAGGAAGGAAGGAAGGAAGGAAGGAAGGAAGGAAAGAAAGAAAGAAAGAAAGAAAGAGAGAGAGAGAGAAAGAGAAAAAAAATCTCTGTGCTCACCTCCTCACTGGCCCGCTCTAGTCTACAAATCAGAAACCACCAGGCCCGGAAAGCAGCACTAACTAGACGGGTGCCGTGGTCACACAACCCCCGTCCACATGTGAAGCACTGCACAACTCCACTAGTCTTAGTGGCTTCCTTAGCCTGAAACGGCTGGCGCGGATGGAAAGACAACCACACCACGTAAGTTACATAACCCGAGCAACTGAAACGCTACTCCCATTTCACAGACAGGGTCCCGGCTGGGGACCTGCCAAGGTCACACTTCCCAGCGGTGGCGGCTGCTCTGCTTGGACACACAACTCCTTCCAATCTCGAGTCCAGCTCGCGCCCCTCGGGCAGCGCAGCGAGACACTCCCCTCCTTCGTCCACCGCCGCCGAGCCACAGGTGCCCAGCTACCGTGGTGACGTCGCGACCCCGGCCCGAGGTCCAGGCCGTAGCGTTGTTCCCGCAGCCGCCGACCCCACGCCCATTGTTCCCAGCTTGCTCACCTCCGAGGACGCGGTGGCAGGCCCCGCTGGGCCGCTGGAGGCCAGCTCTCGTCGGCCCAGTAAGCTCGGCCGGTGGCGGCAGGATCCGCGAAGGCGTACCCGGCGGCTTCGGCGCCTCCCCTCCTCTGCAGGCGCCGGAGGGGGCGCCTCTCCCTCCTCGCGAGACAGCGGAGACCCCGGCGGCGGCGGCTGCGACCCCTGTGACGTAGAACGCTCATCACCGAAGGCAGTTTGGGGGCGGAGAGAAGGCGAGACCCACCCCCTGCCCGTGCAGCACGGAGCGCCCCGCCCCCGGCCCGGCGCATGCGCCGCAGGCGGGCGCCCGTACACCAGACCCTGCCCTGCCCCCCACGGCGGGGGGCGCCCGTCTTTGGGGAGACGAGGCCCCGTCGCAGTAGCCACTGCCAAAGGGGCGGAAACCCGACACCCGAAACCTGGACAAGCTGCCCGGGTTCTCCCTAGTGTAACAAGGATGGCACTGAGCAACCTCAGCGCCCTCGTCCTCACGTCTTTTTCAGCTGGGATGAGCCGCAGGCGCCGAGCGCTTCTCAGCCATGACCTTTCTCCCAGCGGCCTGCTTCCCACTTCCCGCTCCCCGAAATCTAGATTAACATTGAATCCGACACCTCTGCGCCCCAAGCCGCGCAGCCCCGGGGCCTGCCAGCCAGGCCGCCCCTGCAAACACAGCATCCTCAACTGCACGCTCGCCTGCCAAACTGCCTTGCTTGGGGCTTAGCAGGCCACACTTGCTTAGGTCCTAGATTCCGTAAACGTCCCTTCAACACTTGTTGACGGGCAGACATTTTAAAACGCCACATATTTAAAAATATTTCCAGCAGTAAGCGACAGTATTCTGACTAGTCTCTCTTGATGAACGGCCTAATTAAGTTTCCAGCGATTCTTTAGTTATATAAACGAGTGGATGATATTGTTCATGCCAAACATAAACATATGAACGTCCATCTACGTTTTGTAGAAACGGATGCGGGTGTGGGGCGGCAACTTTAATTCTCCCAGCGTTAACTATTTTCAAATAAACTTACATGCACACGATGGCATGCTATTTTGCGTTAGTATCGCACTCCGACTGGAGATAAACGAGTTGAGAAATGCCCCTGTAAGCGCAAAAAAAGCGCGATTTTAACATTTTCTCTTTTATTTCCTCCGCTGCCTGAAAGGCGGGCTAGGCCCGGATCACGTGACGCGCTCCAACTCTGGGCGGAAGCGCGCCTGGGACCGCGGAAAGATGGCTGCTGCAGCGGGGTGGACGGCGCCCAGGAGCGGGCTCTAGGGTCAGCGCCACCCCGTCCCCGCCGCTCCCTTACCATGAGGCCAGTGAGTCGCCGCACCCTGGACTGGATTTACTCCGTGGTAGGTAACCCGGGCGTTGGAACTCCACAGTGCCACATCCCACGGCCCGCAAGCCGAAGGCCGACTGTTTGCTTGCAGTTCGGAACCCCAAAACCCATTCCTAACTTGAGCGTTTACGCCCTGCCCTCAGCTCCTCCTCTTCCTGGAGGACGCGCTCTTCCGCCCCTGACGTCAGAGCTGCCGGGGCGCCCGAGGCTGCCTTTGAGTGACTCCGACAATCTGCTCCCACCTGTAGCTAGTAACCTGGCCTAAGTAGAGAAAGGACCCAGCGCATTGATTTTTTTCCCCCTTTCCTTCCCCTTTAGTTGCTACTTGTGATCGTCTTGCTTTCCTGGGGATTCGTCATCTATGCATCAACTGTAGCTGCGCGAAGACAGCTGCACAAGGAGTTTCCAGATAAATTCTTTGAAATGAATGAACTTTGGTAATTCTTAGCAAACACAGTTCTTTTCTCCCAAATGGCACCTATGTAGACTTAAAAGTAAAATTCACAATCCAAATTGCATAATGTCTTTTGTGATAAGCGTTAACATACTAATTTTTGAAATAGATTGAACAGCCGTTTTTGTATCAGGTCATAGATTTTCATTCTAGTGCTTCAAACATTTCATATCCTTGTAGCACGACTAATAAAAACCCAGAGACAGATAATTGGGGTTCAACTTGAAGGTCAGAAAAGCAAAACAGCCAGCCACTGGCTCTCACCTTTGCCTCAGTCCGAAATGACGATCCTGCCTCCAGGAAGCACAGAATGAGACTGTGTGAGAGCTGTCTTCACGCGTTTTATATTCCTCCCTAGTGCTGGGATTAAAGACGTGCACCTCCACCGCCAGGTATCTATGACAAACTAGTGTGGCTACTGGGCTTAAAGGTGTGTGTCACCAATGCCTGGTCTGGAAGGCTGATCAGTGTGACTTATTTTACTCACTGATCTTCAGGCAAGCTTTATTTATTAAAATACAAATGAAATATATCACTACATATCCTCTTGCCAAATCAAGACATAAACAAATCTATTGTGACTAAAACATATTTTGCATCCTGTTTATCAAATAGGAAAAAAAGTAGCTGATGGCTCTGTTTAGTATTTGCCTTTTTACTATTAGTCTCAAATCAGACGACTTTGGAAAGAAAATAACAACACTCTGAGAATAAGCTTTATTAGTTACTTTTCCAGGAAACAGATTCAGTAAATACAGCACTATATGAAGAGACTTTTGCTATTACACAAGTCTTTTAAGGTTTTATGTGCTCTTTAATGATGTTGATCAGGAAAATCTTTCATTGGTGGAATTACTTCTCCAGTCTCCAGAATTGTATCACCCTAGGAAAAACAAGTAAATGCTTAATATAAATTTTTTCATTAAACATACATTTTGTTGTGAAATATTTCAACATTTGTTTAATACAACAAATGACTATAAACATATTTTACCCTTCATTAACTCAAAATTAAGCCAGGCATGGTGGTACACACCTTTAATCCCAGCACTCTAGAGGCAGAGGTAGGTAGATCTCTGTATGAAGCCAGGCTGGTCTATACAGCAAGTTCCAGAATAGACAAGACTATCTATAGGGACCCTATCTCAAAAAACCAAACAAACAAACAAAAATTTATTTTCCATTTTACTTAAAACATTTCAATTTGGGAGCTCAAGAGATGGCTCCAGCCAGTGGTTAAGAGCACTGCTGCTCTTCCAGAGGACCCAGGTTCAATTCCCAGCACCTACATAGCAGCTCACATGCCTGTGACTCCTGATCCAGGGGACCTGGTACCTTCATACAGACATACATGCAGGAAAAACACCAATGTACATAAAATAAAAATAAATAATTAAAAATATTTTAATTTGGATGCTATATTTTCACCTATACTGATATATATAAAGCCACAAAATTAATCAAATTATTGCATTAGAACTTAAAAAATAAAAAGTTATAGACATAATAAAGTACATATTTAAACTGTATAATACAATTTTGAAGTATGGATATGTGAGATCCAGATAATAACACACAGCATTATAAGATTTAGTATCTTATTCCTTCCATCCACTCTCAGCCTCCTCCTCCAGTTTTCAGAAAGAGATTAAGCCTGGATAGGTGCTCACTGTCCTCTGCTCCATGCTCAGACACTGTATGGAAAAGCTATTGTACTCTGGCATTCATCTTAATAAGGACTGAGACAAAAGAGACTGGAGGGGACAGCCTAACCGACACTAGTCTATCACCTCAGGAGAGAGAAAGCAAGTTCTGTTAAGCCAGAACATAGCTATCACTATCATAGCTTGTTCTAGTCTAAATTAGATGGCCATTCTGTAGTTTCTCAAAAGGGAAGATTCTGGAAGTGGTCAACAACATGGAAACAGGAAAGAAACTCAACAAACCCCCTGATAAGGTCTTTAGAATAGGGCCTTTGTACATGAATGGCAAAATAAACACACAATTAGATAAATAACCAGGCAAGCAAGAATAAATACTAATTAGTCAACTGACAAAACCAATAAGTGAACGTCCTATTTTGAGTATACCTGGGGTCTGACACACATCCCTTACATGTCCGTAAATAACAGAAGTTTCTTGAAGTAGAGTTCTGATAGGGACAGTGAGCCAATTTTGATGGCTCTCTCTAACAGTCTCATGCTGCATTGATAACAGACCACTGTCACATAAGCTATTTAATGGAAGTCTCTGGATTTACAGTTATGGCGGTTCACTCATTACGTGTAAGCAGAGACTGACACTATATTTTAGCATAGTAAACAACAGCTCTCCAACAACCAACTGATAATATATAATATATATGTATATTGTTTCTATGAGGACCTAAAAATTAAAGCACCATAGACAGAATAAAGTGCATGTTTAAACTGTATAATATAACTTAAGTGTGGATATACCTATGAAACCATTGCCACAATCAAGAAAATACTACTTATCATTACAAGATTTAGTACTTTATGTCAAAATACTAAATCTTTGTTTTTGAGATAGGAACTCATTATATAGCCCTGGCTGTCCTGAAACACACTATGTAGACCAAGCTGGCTTCCAACTCAGATATCCTCCTGCCACAGCAGAAGAGTTCTGGGGTTAAAGGTGTGCACCAACACACCCAATTTAATTTAAATTTGAATTAACAAAAGGTACCGCTTCAGGCTTCTGCTGGAGTCCTTTACCCTTGAAAAGCTGGGGATGGAGGGGGGGGGTTCCTTCTGCTCTAGAGCAGTCAAGGTCATAAAACAAGGTTAAGAAATAGTTTCCCCTTAAGAAAATGTTGGACACCTTAGTCATCAGAGAAATGCAAATCAAAACAACTCTGAGATTCCATCTTACACCTGTAAGAATGGCCAAGATCAAAAACACTGATGACAACTTATGCTGGAGAAGTTGTGGGGAAAAGAGAACACTTCTGCATTGCTGGTGGGAATGCAAGCTGGTACAGCCCCTCTGGATTTCAGTGTGGCGATTTCTCAGAAAATTAGGAAACAACCTTCCTCAAGACCCAGTAATACCACTTTTGGATATATAGCCAAAGGATGCTCAATCGTGCCACAAGGACATGTGCTCAACTATGTTCACAGCAGCTTTGTTTGTCATAGCCAGAAACTGGAAACAACCTAAGTGCCCCTTGACCGAAGAATGGATAAGGAAAATGTGGTACATTTACACAATGGAGTACTACACAGCAGAAAAAAAATAACGACAGCTTGAATTTTGCAGAAAACTGGATGGAGCTAGAAAACATTATTTTGAGTGAGGTAACCCAGACACAGAAAGACAATTATCACATGTACTCACTCATAGGTGGCTTTTAAACATAAAGCAAAGAAAGTCAGCCTACAAACCACAATCTCAGAGAACTTAGACAACAATGAGAACACTAAGAGAGACTTACATAGATCTAATCTACATGGAAAGTAGAAAAAGACAAGATCTCCTGAGTAAATTGGGAGCATGGGGACCTTGGGAGAGGATTGAAGGGGGAGGGGAGAGACAGGGAGGGGAGCAGAGAAAAATGTAGAGCTCAATAAATATCAATTAAAAAAAAGAAATAGTGTCTACTCCTCATTTTCAAATTCAGTTGCTACTTCATACTATCCTTTTTCCTCCTCCAATAATGCACAAACACACTTAAGCTGACAGTAAGAAAGGGTCATTTTATCCCGATGAACCTGGCAATCATGTGTAGAATGGGAGGGGATAATGTACAAGTGAAAAACTGGAGTTTTGAGACTTACTGGGAATATCTTGGGCTTCGTGTAAACGATGCCATATGGTTTTGCCTGCAATAAAAACAATTCTATGTAAATTAGAGTGTTAGAATTTCTTCTGAAAAATATGTTAGATCTTAAACTAAATTTTTACTTAAGCCCCAAATTTCCCTAGAATTCTGGCCCACATTACTGTTAATAATAATTCAACATCTCTGCTTATGTCACTAGGCATCTCAAAGTTCGTCACACCCACAATTGAATTTTCCCTCCCTCCACAATTGCTGTTCCTCGTGTTCCCTGTCTTGGCTAATGGCACCTGTATTCCCACAGTGCTAAAAGCCAGAAGAAGCTTTAACTCCCCAGCAGATCCTGCTGGAACCACCTTGAGAATATACCTTGCATCCAAATGATTCTCCCCAGCTAACAGGACCTCCCTTGCCCATGCTTCTTGATGTTTTTGCCAGGACTGCTCCAACGGTACCTACTGGCCACCTGTCTTCTACTAACGCCCCAACAACACAGCCAGCATGATCCTTTCAACATGGATCGCATCTTAGCTCAAAGTTTCATAATCCTTAGAGAAGAAGATGGAGTACTTGCTGTGATCTCTAAACCCTCCAAGATCTCACCCCTGGCTAACTACCACCCCCCCCCCCTGAGTGCACCTTAGTCACAATGGCTCCCAAGCTATTGGGCACATGGATAAAGCCTGCTGTGTCCCAGGGCTTCCGTGCTCATTGAGTCCTTTACCTGAAATGCACTCCTGGCTATCTGCTTGTTCCCACCTCCTTCCAGTGAGGTCCCTTTTAGTGTCACTTCCAGAGAAAAGCCCAATTAAAACAGCAGCTTCCTGTCTTTATTCCTCTTCTAGAGAACTGATCACCTCTTATAACCATACATGCCTCTTAATCGTGTGCTTACTGCCAGTATCCAAGACTAGAATAAGCATTTCATGAGCAGGGATACAATCTGCTGTGTATACGGCTATAACCCCTATTTACAGGGCTTTGCATATAAGAGGTGCTTAATATAAAAATGCAGAACAAGTAAGTTCATAAAGCGTGTATGTCTGTCTGCACAAGACACCATACCAAAATATTTAAAAGATTATTGGCTTGATATAAGACAAGTGGACAAAGACTGTGAGAGAAACTCAGACTATGATACGAAGAAAATAAAATGTCTTTATTATATGAACTGTGGCCAGGGTCAGAGAGGTGACTCCAGGTAAATAGCACAGGCCTGGCAACCCGAGTTCCATCTCTAGAACCCACATGAAGATAAAAGAAAACCAACTCCACAAAGTTGTTCTTTATCTCCACAAACATATAGGACAGCTGTACCCTCACCCACACATTAACAATACATACTTAAAATTTTTATTCTAAAAAGAACTGTGGCCAAAGTCAAGAATTGATGGAGGAAGGTCATTGGTTAATTATAATAAACCAACTGCTTGGCCTCATAGCTTAGAACATAGGTGGGTGGAATAAACAGAATAGGATGCTGGGCGGAAGAGGAAGTGAGGTCAGACTCTGCTCTGCTTCCAGAGGGACCGGATAGCTCTGCTCTCTGGAGCAGAGAAGCCATGCTCTGCTCTCCCAGGCAGCTCCAACCCACGATGGACTTAGGCTAGAATCTTCCCGGTAAGCGCACCTTGGGGTGCTTACACACATCATTAGAAATGGGCTAGTCCATGTGCGAGAATTAGCCTGTAAGGGCTAGAGTTCATAGGCCAAGCAGTTCTTAAATGAATACAGTTTGTGTGTTGTTATTTCGGGCATGAGCTAGCCAAGCGGCCGGGGTGTTGGGGACGCAGCCCCGCCGCCGCTCCTATTTCAACAAAGAAGATATTAAATGTCTTCAGAGAGATGTAGAAATCAGTTCTGAAATAAGTGTTATTACAACGAAGCTGCAGGATTTACCTGTACAAACCAGGAGAAAGAATAAAAGATAAGTGGTCCCAGACCCCACCAAACAATAATGGTGAAATATGTTCACTAGTGGCTAAGAAAGCATGAATTCCTAAAAAAAGAAACCATATTAATGTCTCTTTTTGTCAACCTAATATTGTAGCTTATGAAATATGCTTCTCCTAGAAGACAAATGTCTTTTCAATCCTAAGACAACACGACCATAAAGATGATAAAGGAAACCACACTCAGTCTACATGGGTAAATGCCAACTTTTAAAAGTTGGGATAGGGCTGGAGATAGGCTTAGATGTGAAGACTGCATACGGCTGTTGCAGAGGACCAGAGTTCAGTTCCCAGCACCCACAATGCTTGGCTCACAGTTGCCTATAACTCCAGTTTCAGGAAGATCTAACTCCTCTGGCTTCCACTCACCCATACTCACGTGTACACACCACGCAGAGATACACACAGACACGCACACACATGCACGCACAAGCACACACACATGGAAAATAAATCTTTAAAATGTAAGTAAAGGTGAGTAGAGAAGGGAAGTGGGTGTGGGAAGAGTTGGGAAAGAGGTGAATATAAAACACTTTGTAGTATGAAACTGTCAAAGAATTAGTAGAAAATAGGCAACTAAAAAGAAGAAAAAGTTGAGCTGACCCATGTTCTACTGTCAGAGTGTTTATAAGATAATCTGACTACCTCTAAGTCTAACAGATGAGACTCAGGATTATAATGAAAATGTATAATGGACAAACTTCTGATTTGAAGCTGAAAAGCATTGCTTCTTAGGGGCACCAATATACCATATAAATGCCTAAAATTAAGATTGAACAAATAAAGTTTATAAATGCGTCTAAAGTGCTTAAGGAATGTGATTACATCTGTGAGTGGATTGTCCTAAGAGTTCAACTTCAGTTAGTTCCAAGGCTGTCAGGACACCTTTTATCGGAGGTATGGCAGTTTAATTAAGACAAAAGTACACTTTAAAATGTAACTAACAAACTAACTTCCCAGGCAATACTCTGCCCAGAACACAACGGCCACTCGCGGCTGTTTCACACCTTCCCTGCCAGAAGACAGGGTTCTTCTCCAGCGATGAGATACATAAGATGAACAGTGGCACGGAAAGGCCCGTGGAGTTGCACGTGAACACGGTTTTCAAGCCCATCAGCACAGAAATGGAAACCATTCTCTGACCCTTAGAGATAGAAACTGTTAGTTCATTTTATTGTTGCAGAAGGGTTTTCAAATCCTGACTAGCCCCTACTAACCTTACTGCTGACACATCAGACAGCCCATGACAACAGGGACCCTCCAGGAACTATTAAGGACATGAAAACATGTCATTTCAAAATCAGTTTGCTTTGCTTTTTGTTTGTTTGTTGTTTTTCGAGACAGGGTTTCTCTGTAGCTTTGAAGCCTGTCCTGGAACTAGCTCTGTAGACCAGGGTGCGCTCAAACTCACAGAGATCCACCTGCCTCTGCCTCCTGAGTGCTGGAATTAAAGGTGTGCGCCACCACTGCCCGGCTATCAGTTCGCTTTTTTCCAACTTCTAATGTGTACCAAACTTCAACAGCCTCCAGCCTCCAGCTATTCTACCTGGTGTAGATCTTTGCTTCCTTCGGTCTGTGTTCAATGTTTTATTACATTTCCCTCACAGTCATCATGTCATTGTCCCACAGTGGTGTGGAAGCTCATGGATGTCATCAGGTGACATGAGGTTCCGGGTTCAAGACTAGCGTGCAGTATATGAGACAGTTTCAACAGACACAGAATGGAGAGTTTCCACTACTTGTTACACCTAACGTTTTCTCCCTAGATTTTGAAACGTTCCCTAGATTGGTCCCAGCTTATTGGATCGGTAAAAAGTCATCTCCTCAGTGTGGAGGCCTTATGGCCATGCTCATCACTGGCTTTCTATCTTCCTTCTAATTGGCTAACTGTTCCCTCCACACTCTTCTTTGAATGCTACCCATCTTCTAGCATAATACATATTCCTGGATGTCAAATACCTACTTTTATATATTCTTTCTATAACAATGAAGAGGGCATACTGGGTACTCCATTCTTGTTGCGCCAAAGACCTAACGTGGAGCAGGGAGATGGCTCATAGTGCAAAGTCTTGCTGCCAAACAATCTGTGTTCGATCCCTGGAGCCCACATGGTTGAAGTGGAGAACCCAAGTCTTCAGGCTGTCTTCTGACATTCTTTTACCTTCATGATCTGAACACGTTTGAAGGTAACAAGCCAATAATCTTGCTCTGCTGGCCATTCCCTCCAGTTCGGCTTGTTCACGACTCCTTGTGACCGTGTTCAGATGATGAACTGTGGGCAGGAACATCACAAAGCGGAGGCTGCTTTCTTCTTGCTGCTTTTGTCAAGCAGCACAGTGTGAGTTGTCTCACGGCCAACAACACTGAGACTGCCTGTTAGAGTGTAACTTCGGGACAGCACTGTTGCCAGGCTTCCTTAAAGGGCAGGCGGAGTGAACACGCAGACAAGCACACGTCCACATTCAATTCACGGTTATTTATCTATCTACCTATGAATACGTTGTAATAACTACGAATTCACCCTAATACTTCCAATTCTAATTCCATTCCCCAAGGTGTTCTCCGTTTTCATGGAAACACCCCCTTTCCACCAGTGTACTTACTTGACCAAGTTCCTCACATGTAACAAATCTGCCACCACCACCACACCCTTCGATGTTTAGCCTCTTCACCTCATGTGGGTCCTGGCATCTCAGTCCACCTCAGGTTCCTTACTCCCTCTTCCCTCACTCCGATATCCTACACCAGGCTGCTGTCGCTAAGGTTCCCCAAATAGATAAGCTCAGCTCCCAACTCTCCCTGAACACAAGCATTGCCCTCTTTACACTATCTGAGCGCCAACAGTCGGCACGGGGCCATCAGCACTGTTGGTCCAGCACCACGTACCAACCACACTGTGCTATCCCTTCTCTTTAATTTGTGGCAAGTGGCTCTGGACAACGCACGCAAGATCTTTCCATGAAAAAGTTAATAATTCTGGTCACCTCGATTCTAAAGAAAGACACTTATGAAAACCCAGAAAGGAACATGAAACAATGACAAACCCGCCTTGAATGGTATGATATACCTGACCTGTGCTAAAAAGGCGGTAGAAGTCATCTTCCCACCTCCCGCTCAGGACTCCAGGCTTAGACCCTCTGACATTTAAACACTACCACAAGGAAATGCATTGCAAATCATAAGCTAGTTGCATATAAGAGTAATCTTTTGAATTGCAAGTGTTGAAACTAGTTGTATAGAAGAGTCCTGAAGTTCCATTAAACTTTTTACCCAAAAGAATTCAAAGAACTTCAAAATCAACTTAAAACGGCATGTTATTTCCTGAGTACAGCACAGCCACGGGAAATTATTCTACAATATTAAAAGTGAAGCACACATTTAACACACACTTACCGCAATGTGGTATTTGACGTAGTAGTGAATTAACCATAGAGGTACAAGTATATGAGAGACAGTGAAGATACTGGACCGGTATGTCTTAAAGAGCTGGGGAAAAGCACAACACACAGAATAAACAAATATACTCTTTTTAAATTTTTATTTTTTAGATTTATTTATTTTATGTGAATTAGTGTTTTGTCTGAATAAATGTATGTATGTGTACCATGAGTGTGCCTGGTGCCCTCAGAGGTCAGCCAGAAGAAAGCATTGGCTCCCCTAGAACTAGAGTTACAGACAGGCTTTGAGCCACCATGTGGGTGCTGGAAACCAAACTGGGTCCTCTACAAGAGCCAAGTGGTCTTAAGGACCAAGTCACCTCTCCAACCTCACCCACCCCTCATTTTTATTTTTCACTATTATTTTGAAACAGGGTCCTCTCTTTAGCCAAGGCAGACCTGTCCTTGAACATGCAGCAATCCTCCTTACTCAGCCTCTGGAATTGCTCTGCTTATCAACAAATGTTACTTACTATGCCTAGCATGGGATACCTCATTTTCCATTGTGTGTGCAACAAAAATCAAAACAAAACCAAAAAAAGAAAAAAAGAAAAAGAATCCCACCACCAACAAAGAAACAGTGTGGTACTTACTTTACAAACTTCTAAATGAAATCTACTTCCTGACAGACTGGGGCTAACCTACCTACTCCAGTATTGTCACTGACTCTGGGACTTCCTACAGGATATCCACAGACTCCAGAGCAAACAAGCCATAGGATGAGCAGCATGCTGCAAGACTGCTAGACAAGGTTTAGAATAAATAGCATTCTGCAAGATATAAAGCATTCAAGTTCAAGAAAAATGCAAACTTCACTAAAATACGGGTGTTCTAAACTCACTGAGATCTCTTCTGACACGCCTTTTTAAAACGGAAAGTCAAAGGACAAAAAGGGACTTTCCTACGGCGTCCCCATTTGACTAAAACACACCGTTTCAGGAGAAAGACAACTTAGAATCTATGTATTATAGCAAATTATTATAGAAGAAAAAAATCATTCCAAGTAAAGCAAGACAAAATCCAACAATTAAATCACTAGCTAAGTTTTCAACTTGCCACCAGTGTCTGCTAACGTCAACAGGTAATGGCAGATACACAAGGAAGAGACTGCTTGAATTAGTGTGAAATTTTACCACCTTAAGTATGTGATACCCTTTTACGCTAATTTCCATTGCACTATACTTGGTAGCATAGTAAAAAAGTAGATTACATGTGGATTTCAACATGAATTCCTTCAAGTGACCAGAAGAAAAATCCTTCTTTTTTAATGTTTCTCTTTCCTCACATTTAAAATGAGAATTAGTAACTGTTTTACCATTTAGGAATAAAAAAATGAAGTAATGCATACAAAACCTCCAGCAGAGTACTAGGTTCGAAGACAGCACGAGCCCACTATTACTTATTATTACTGGAAGTAACTGAAAGCAAACCCCACACAGTACTCACTACTCATCCCAGATGTGACTCGATTAACAGAATCAAAGACAATATCTGGAACCCTTAAAATAAAAACCAGTCCTAGAATGGATGATTTTTCTGCCTGGCAAGGTAGAGGAATGCAGCTGAAAAGCAAACCGTGCTCACAGTACACAGTGAGGCACAGAAAGGGGGCTTTGGCGTCGGACAAAGCATACCGAACCGAACCCTGTGTTCCGCGGCGATCCCTGAGGCTGTATCACACCAGCAAGCCCTCTGGCAGCTGAGTGCAGAGTCAACCACAACCTTACAAATCGCGTCTAAAACCACAGCCCGTGAACGCTAGTGAAGTCTGGCCCGTTACTCTGCGGAAAGGTGTCTACAGCAGAAAGAAAAGCGTGTGCTTAAAACCCAAGGGCAGACTTCTCGGTACACCTGACAGCCCACCAAGGGTCATCATCCTCCCGAGGCCAACACCTCCTGGACTCAGAGCCCTGCGCGGGACTCCGGGGAGGCGACAGTCTTCGCTAAACCTGAGGCCCGGACTGACTGTCCCTGGGGATCCTCCGGGGTATGGACAGGGTGGAGCCTTGATGGGACTGAGAGGAGCGGGCCGGGGTGGCCGGGCTGCAGCCGGGCGTGGGAACTCACCACTTTCTTCCACACGGCCCCGTCCCGCAGAAAGTTATTCCAGAATCCCTCCAGGGGCCACATCTTGCGCGGTGGCAACACGGGCTCCCGGGGGCTCAGTTCCTGGTCCTTCAGCCATCGTCTCCTCAGCTCCCGCAGCTGCTGCAGCCGCAGCTTCTCATCCGCCGTGTACCCCGTCATGTTGCCGGCGAACTCGCTCAAAGGGACGCAGCGCGGCCCGAACCCGGGGCCGGTCACTCACTCACCCGCTCCGCAAAGCGACCTTGAAGACACCTGGGAGCGGCGCGCTGTGATGATGTCACACCAACGGGGGGGGGCTGCCGAACCCTTCGCGGAAGTCAGGATCTGCTCATGCGCAGAGCTCTCTCGCCGGTCCTGGTTTAACGAACCCGGATTGAGAGCTCCATCGAGAAAGTTATAAAACTAATGGGGACGGGGAGGGAAGGGAATAGGACGTGTGAGAGGTCCTGGGACTGGCGTTCAGAGAAGAAAGAACTTGTAGGGGAAGGGGCTGGAAGAACCGGGACGTGAGTTTACCGAACCTCTGCCCCGCCCCCTGGAATGCCTCTCTTCTTGACCTAGAGACCATTACCTCCAAGTTCAGCTCCCAGCCCACGTATATCGGTTTCTTCCCTCGTCTGTACTGCAGAAATAAAGAAGACTGTATTTGGGAGGATTACATAGGCTCGTTCACTCTTTGATCCAGCCGTCCCACTTGCAAAAATCCCAAAAAGTATAGTGGTAAAAAGTTGCAGTGGTATGCATGAGTATTGATCACGACACAATTTGTAATTTCAAATCCTTAGAAATCATCTCCCAGATTCCTCAGTAGAGGGTTAGGAGAAAGCTTAGGGTACTGCAAAACACTGAAATATTGCAGCCATTGTGTAGATAAGCTTTCCATTTACAACTGCGGAGTGCCTATTGTTAAGGCAAAAGCAAAACACACACACACAAAAAAAAAAAAAAACCCACCTACATCCAGTAGAAAGAAGAGTATATGGAATGCTACCTTTTATCCAAAAGCGAGGTGAATAGTGGTGACACTAAATATATATTCCCTGAAGTTTTTAAAGTAATAGAAATGAAAACTAATTTTGTTCATTTTTGGGGCTAGGGTCTGGTGTTATGTAGGCTGACTTTAATTTGCTGTTTAGGGGAGGCTGGGTTTGAACTAATTTTTTTGTCCCCACTACTCATAAGCTTGGATGCACCAGTTTGTTTAACTTGAAAACAACTGCTTTTGATGGAAGAGCTGGCCTAGGTCACAAGAGCAGGAGAGCTCTCCCTGCTCCTCTTCAGCGGCAGCACTCGGGAGAGTGGTCCCTATACCTCACCTGTGCAACACAGTAGAGCTGGTCCCGAAGGTATGACTGAGGAGTTGAAAGCTGGAGAAAGGGCCCTGCCCCTTGGTTAAAGCTGTAAGAGTTGAAGTAGCCAGGGCAGTGCTGGAGAGCCCATCCTAAAGGCAAAGAGCTCGGGGGCTGACCAACCCTGCAACTATCCAAGCCCAGAACCAGTTACATGTTGGCTCACCCCAATGTGATCTGCTGGAATATGAGAGTAAGAGGAGGTGGGGGGGAGGGGAGATGTCCTCTCCATGATACAGGGCAGCAACAGGATGTCCAGAGAGGGCGGAGCATCGATGATGCGAGAGAGACCAGGCCAGACCAATGAGTCTTTGCAATAAAGTCCTGCATGTGAAAATGTATGAAGGGGTTTGCTGTGTGACTCACTGTGTCAACTGCAGCTCCCGTGATGAGATTTTTCCCTTCTTTTATTTTTT